GGAACAAAACTCTCTCTCTCTCTCTCTCTCTCTCTCTCTCTCTCTCTCTCTCTCTCTCTTGTTTTAGCTCTTAGTCTCATTGATTTGGCTACTTTAGGGCTGCGCTCCCCGCGCCCACGCTGTAGACAATACAAGAGTTTTTTCTTTTCGAAATCCGAATAGAAAGGGTACACAGTTTCAATTTCGAAAAAGGACTACCCGCACCGTTTCAATTTCGAAAAAGGACTACCCGCACCGTTTCAATTTCGAAAAAGGACTGCGGCCTCCTCGGCCTCCTACTCGCAGCTACCGTTCCTACGAGGTCCTGGACCAAAACCCGTGCCGTACTACCGGTCCTGCAGTTTCAAATAAGATGCCACCACCCCCTAAACTGCCATGCCTTGTTTTGTCAGCCTTCCAACGACCGTATAATGAACGACGACGAAAAATGTTCTCAGGGGCATAAAACGCACCCCTGACGAGCTGCAAACAGTCTCGAATGGTCTGAACGTGTGCTACCACGAGCTCGAGTAAAGCCAACTAATGATAGTCTAGAGTCGAGACGCAACATACATACAACACCATGGACTAGGCAGTGTCTGTAATGCTTACCTGAGTCGGCCCGACGGGTATGCAAATGACCGTCTGTTATGTAAAAGCCTGCTGGTTTCTTTGTGCATACGGAGTTTTGAGCTTCTTTGTGCATACGGAGTTTTGAGCTCGTGACCTCAGATCACAAAGAGTATTGATGACTGGTGCCCTAACCACTGATTGACAGAGGCCACTTGCGTCTAGCACTGCTTCTAGCTATTTCTTGATGGGCCACAGCCAGATGCATACAGGTCTGGTAGTAAATACGGTCAGATACATTTAAGACATGCTGGTGTGAGTACGCCCTCAGACAGGCACTTTCCCCGTAGGAATCCGGGCGCATGTGAGGAGCCCCTTCGGCTGACTGGTAGGTCCATGCCGCTGGTCGCGGACGAGAGTTCAAACCTCTGTGGTCAATAGACGATGAGCACAGTGTTTGATGGTGTGATAATCGTTTTCTTTTTTTTTTTTGGAGATGAGTGATAATCGTTTTGCAACTCAGTGCTGTTCCCGAGATGTTCCCCGCACTTGAATTTACTATTCGTGGCGCAGCCAACTTAGGAGTTGATGTTGTTCCCACCATATGGCGCGGAGTTGAGGCTACCGTCCCGCCTGCTGCGCGCCGCTACGAGTACATTTCCCTCTCCCGCGACTTGATTGGATCCTCACCCAAGTAAACGGTAGAAGGAGGGGTGGGGGCATAACCGAGGAGGGAGGGGAGCCGGTGTCACCTTTCGCCAAAGACAGGACTGCGACGAAGAGGGGAAGTATTCTCTTAGAAGTGCGCGGCTGAAAAAAAAAAAAAAAAAGAAAAAGAAGAAGTGCGCGGCTATGGCGGTGGCCAGCCTCTCTCCGGCGGCTGCGCGCTGTCAGTCTACCCGGGCTGCTGTTTGTTGTCATCGATTTGCCAATCTGCGCCGACTTTTTCAGTTTCCGATCTCGACGGCCCTGTCTCGACAGGCTGATCGAACTCCTGCGGGTTCTGCTCTGCGTCATGGAGATCCGAAGGATCAACGGACTCCTCATCCGTACTGGTATCGGGATGATGACGTGGACGCTCGTGCTGCTGCTGTTGATCGTCAGCAGCAGAGTGAGGGGACATGTGGAGGAGGAACGGACCAGCCTCAGATCGTTTCCACATGGAAATCTCCCGTAAGGTTTTCGTCTTTTTCTTCTCCTTTTTCTCCGTTTTCCTGCTCTTCCGCCCTGTCGCCTTCCTCCTCCTCGTCCTCCTCCCCCTCCTCCTCGTCCTCCTTCCCTTCTTCCTCTTCTCCCTCACCTCGTCCTTCGACCTTTCCGCCATCGCCATTGATCTCTAGAGGTTCGTCTTCTTCAATGTGTTGGTTTGCCATCGACTCGTGCGTGCATCCAGCTGAGGGGGTTGCAGAGCTTGTTGCTGGGGAGGATGGAGGAGGGGGAGGGGGCGCGAGAATCGCCGGCGCGTTGAGCTTTGCAGCGCGCTCGTGGGTGCAGCTGATGGACCTGTCGAACTCGATAAGAAGGAGGGAGGGGGCAGCCACGTGGTCGGAAAGGACCGGGGCAGCCATAGCCACGCGGAGAGGAGGTTTGCAGTCAAGGAAGAAGAAGACGGAAGCGATCGGGACAGCCACGTGGTCGAAGCGGAGATCTTGTGGCGCTCATAATGCTTTGGCGGGGTTGAGGCACATGTCATCAGCGCTGGTTGCCGTTCCGACAAATGGCAAGCGGGTTTTCTTCGTTGATACATTAGCATTGGTCAGTTTCCTCTTCTTCTTTTGCTCTCTCTCTCTCTCTCTCTCTCTCTCTTCCTCAGAGGTTCTCTCTCTCTCTCTCTCTCTCTCTCTCTCTCTCTCTCTCTCTCTTCCTCAGAGGTTCTCTCTTTCTCTCTTCCTCAGACTCTCTCTCTCTCTCTCTCTCTCTCTTTCTCTCTCTCTCTCGCTCTTCTTTCAAACTCTCTCACATACTTCTCTCTCTCTCTCTCTCTCTCTCTCTCTCTCTCTCTCTCTCTCTCTCTCTCTCTCTCTCTCTCTCTCTCTCTCTCTCTCTCT